ACTGAACCCCTCTAAAAATCTGATTACCCCAGAAACTTTGTATAAAACATCTATTTGTGATTGCAAAACATTTTGCATTAATTTTAAGGCATTTGTTAGAATATTTCAAGTTTTATTGAATTATAGGGCCTACATGGATGTAATATGACAACTAGTAAGTTCACTGATAAGTATGTCATATACATGTACTCTTTTTTTTTTTTATCAAGTTTGAGAATTTACTTAGATGTTCATTCTAATTATTTAATTCTTGGTTCATATATTGTTTGAATTGTAAATGAAAGTTTTTTTAGCATGTATTTAGCATATTGGTCTGGTGTTTTCTGTTCTTTTGTTTGTTACAAAGTTCTCATAATATATGTATGGAGCTTCCCAGAAGTTCCTCAGAGTTTTAATAATTTTCATATTAAATATATTTATATATATTTGTATACTGCAATAAAGTTGTCAATTCTTCATGTTACTGCACATTTTGCTTTCATTCTGAGAGGAGATGGTAAGGACAACAATTATTTTACATATAATGCTGCAAGCATATGTACAACTGATCAAGAACACATGAATGTAGATGTATTCATAAAAAAAAACTTTAAACGTTAAATTTCTCTTTTTAAAACAGACTATTTATTCCATACATTAACATCCAATTTTACAATGTACAATAATATTATATATAATGAGATGATTCTAATGGGGACACAATTCAGGCTATTTCTAATATTAGCACTTCTTTTAGAAATCTTCATTAACACCAGAAATTAATCAAATAACTAAGTTCTTTAATGCAATTGTTATATTGGGGCTGTGGTCTACATATGACAACATTTTAAAGTTAATACTATTTTTAGGTGCTGAACTATTTAAAGGTTTTGTACCCAAACTATTAAAGTTTATCACTAAGTGCTATAACACAGCTATAATTTAACTAAGTAATGGAAATAAAATAAATATATATCTTAAATCATTTTGAACAGTTTAAATAATATTTGGACCAAAAATAGGATTCCTTCTGTCATAGAACATTTCCAGTGAACTAATTCAGTGAAAAAAGGAACATTATGTCATCAACCTATGCAGCATCTTTACAATATCAAACTATTACAACCTATTAGCCACCTTTCATCAATCAGAACTATTGACAGAAAGACTGTAACCATTATGTCTTAGTATTTACAGACTTTGAGTCCAGTTCTCTGATTCTGACATTTGCTAGCTTACAATCCAATCAAATGAATGTATTTACAAACTTCCATGATGCTATTTTAGTCAAGGTATAATCTGAAGGTCATAATAGCTTGACATTGTAAAGATGCCTATGCAGTAGTAGTATAATGCAAAAAGAAAAGTGCATTTTCAAAGCTAAAATGGTGACAACAATTTTGAAATGTTATTCAATTATCTGTTTTTGTCGTTTGTGCACCAGGTACTAGTAATATAATTCATTAACCACTTTGTGCTAACAACATTTAATGACATTTTAGTCCTACTTCTAATCATAATAAATATAGAAAGTGGAATGTAGAGAGCCATCATATTCCACACTTCCATTGATCTCTTCAATGGTCATAACATACACATTGTGATCAAGATGTCAATGATATATAGTCACAAAACTTTGGAATAACGATGCAGGTAGAAATAGCAGTCATGGATAAAGTCAAATTGCCATATATGAGGCAAAACTGGCAAAACATAACCAGTGAATATTTTAGAAACCAATTGAGAACTTTGTATCAAAATTGGGATATTCAAATTACCAATAGAATACATGCACACTAGTTGGAAAGCTGCTAATTGGTTGCAACCAAGTATGGTGAGAAAAAATACATGAGAATTTTGCTATTTTTCTTTATCACAACATAAATTGAAATACAGCTAAAAACAATTAGTAAAGACTATGGACAAGATAGCAAACCATGATGGATAAATTACTTTATGATAGATGCTTTTTTTCTGAGATTGACAGTAGAATTTTATTGAGGACACATAAAAATATTCGAAGTCAAATGAAGAAATTGACATAATGATAAATAAAGTCCACTATTTTAAATCATAAATATTATCACATATAATAGTATATTTAAAATTAACAACAAAATTTTATTTACAAAACGAATGTACAAATGAAAATTTAGAATTAAGACATACAAACATTCTTTGATATTTAGTTACAAAGACTAAATTTATTTTTCCTAATGTTATGTTACAATGTATGGTAAGGTATTACCTTGACAGAAACCAATTGTCTTGTCCAATTAATAATTCTGATGTACAATAACTTACTTAGCCTTGCTAATAATTTAACATAAAAGATTGTCAATGAGCATGTCTCTTTCATACTTTGTGACCTGAATACACAGTAAAACATATCAGTTATGACCTCATCAAAATCAAATCAGGAGGTAATCATGCATTCATTATGCAGTTTCAACATAATTATTGTCTAAATCATTTGATTTGATGCAATACTGTATTCTAGCATACTTAATATTTAGATTAATTTTATATTGAAAATTGAGACAATAAAGTCAATCACAGATTTCATTGTTTCAATAACAATAACTCTTGTTCTATTTGGTAAATGGTGACAATGCATAATGTATAACATTTTCTCAATATGTACAGTGGAGTCTTACTAAATCATCTTCACACACAAAAGCTAGCAGCCAATTGTGACACCATTCCTAACCATCTGTGATTGAAATATTTCCTATACTGTATTCTTATTTTATAGAATAGAATCTTGTCATTGGTTTAACTTGGCATCTATTTTTTGTTTGTGATAACCATAAGTTCAAGCTATGAACACAGTAAACTGATTAATTATCATAAAAAGCCCCTATTAAATGTGAATTTTTATTTCTACTTGTCTATATAACGCTTTTCCAACTCATTTACTCTAAACTATTCAGGTTTTCATTTCTACTCATCAACCAAAACATGTTAAGAATGGAAACAACTTTGGCTTGGTGTAAACAAAATTTGTCACTAACCAAATGTAGTTGTAATTCATGAAACAATCTAAGATACAATTGAATAAACCACAAAAGAATAAAGTTTGTTTCATGAAGTACATGCCTTTTACATCTAATCACATGTAGGTAGAATTTTCAAAAGGAGGGTTAAAAATTGTTCCTGTTGTAAATAATTTTTTCTATTAATAATAATATCTGTCCACCATATTTTCATTTATTAGATTCTACTGCCCATACTGAAAATAGAAATAAAATTACAAATGTTAAACATTTCATTCCACATTTTATATCACATTTATAATTAAATATAGTAACTTAGAAATCTATTTTAAATATTTATATTTAAACTGCTATCAATATTAGATTTGCTATCGAGTGGTAAATAATAATAATAATAATGCTTCCAAAATAATTCTTCATCTGAAACTTTCTATCATATCTATCTGATTAAAGGGATATATCAAATTTTCATCTATATACTGCTTTAGCAATTGATTATAGAGCTCAAAACAGTACATTTTGTGAAAACCCATCACAACAGTCAGTTGAAATTCAGCTCATCAGATGGGGAAGCAGACATTTAGTCCATCATATCCCTTTAAAATATAAATTCTACTTTTAATAATGTAATATTGATTATTACTGGATGGTAAAAATTTGAAATCTTTTTTCATAGATTATGTTCTATATCAATCTGCATCAATCAATTCTTGATTTAAATCAAATTGTATATTCCCTTGACATACTGGTAAAGGTTTAATCAATTTAAATTTAGATCAAAAGATTGAGTTCTACTTTAACCTTTTCATTAATTGTAAGAATTATTTCAATTTACTGTTATGTACTGTGTTAGAAATAGAAGGCAATGAAACAATTTAACAAAGATAACCATACAAAAAAGAATTGTGATATACCTTTTTTTTGTCTGTTATAAAATATATTTCATGCATTATTAAAACACATATTACTACACCTACTTAACATGAAGACTACAGATAATGGACCATTGCCCACTTCACATATCTATACTCAAAACTATTCAATTTGTTAGATATTTTCTTTATAAAACGTCATAATAAGCCAATGTAGTAAATATATCAGTATTATCCATATTAAGTTCAGTCAAACTTTTAGGACCCATCACCATGACCGGATTCAACGTGATCCTTTCATCAACAATTACATAAATAATTGGCGATGAAAGAGAATTGAATGTTATTCAATTGTAAGGATTGTAAGAAATTAATATGAACTTTGGGAAACTTTTTTTTATAAGGTACCAGTTATGTTAGTGTTAGTGCTACACTTGTGCACTAATCCAACACTAACACAGAGTTCTGACCTCACTCAATGTAATTCAAATATAAAGAATACATGTAGATACCAAAAAAATAATAATATCTGTATTATATCAATCACTATTCAAATAAACATGCAGACATGAAAATATGTAAGCTGAGTAAAAATACATGATTAATCAACATGCATTAGAAGAAAAAATGTAGAGTTTGTAATTTACTTTCATTGATATTTCAAACAATAATATCTGTGGATGATTCCACTTTTATAAAGATTCTGTCAAAGAATAAGTAATACAGATATTCACCAATGTTTCAGATTTTCATATAATTTGCATTTATCATCAATAAATTATATTTCCATAAAAATCATTTAATTATAAATATTCAATTTTCATAAATACTTATATTATTATCATAAAAAATGTTCTTGGTTTCAGTTAATCAGAATTAAAACCATGCATTATTTAAGAAAAAAATGAAATTAAGACAAAAATTGAAAAAGAGAGTGAATAACCTGAATTATGTGTATTTCTGAGTGACCCATACTAATAGCAGGAAAGAGAAAGAGAGAAGGAGTTAGGTTAGTATTATTTTAATATTACATACACATTCTACGCTTATACATCTAATTATATAATTTATACAGTTCCTTTAACAATTAACAT